ATACATGCCATCATCTCTTTTATGTATGAGGAAAACTTTCTCTAGGCTATGTATTCTTATCAAAATTATGCAGTCTCACTGCATTACCTTTCACTATTTTTCTGACTTTACTTATCTATTATGTTTCTGGAACATTCTCTAGGGTTTAAAAGCAACTCCTTCTTTGCAATGTCATTTCTATACCTCCCCAAAGAGGCAAGAACATCACTTCTGCTGCTTCTGTTTTGTAGCTCAGTGCTCAGTATGTTCATGTGGCAGGGGCCACAGGGTCTGCTCCTTAAATATCTGCTGAATGAAGACAGGAAATTTACCTGAGTGACTGACACACTTAGAATTATTTTTTAATAACTCTGAAGAAAACTTATATAACTTTGTCGGGAACTTGGTTGAGCTGAGGAAAGCGGAAATCTCAGGTGTTTATGTAGCCAATGGTAGCTGCAAGTTCAATATGAAAATAACAAACATTTAATTTCTTGCTGGCATAGAGGCTAAAATCAGAGATTGCACAAGTAGCCACCCTATTCCATTTTTTTTTCCCATGGACCCATGTACCTGTGAAGGTCTGGTGGATCAGAAGAGACATGGGGTCATCTCACTGTCCAGGGAGCTCCAAATAAAAGACTCCTGCAATCTTAGGGACCCAGGGATGAAACAGGCATGCTGTTCTATCACTGTGAAAATAAAATTTAGTGTCATTTTTACTTTCATTTTTCTCCCTGCATTATTGAGGTTTCCTGGTCTTGGTTAAAAACCTTTGAAAGATTTCCCAGGTCTTACCGTAGGCTATTTTAAACTCATCTTCTGACAGTCCTCTCCTGAGGAAAATTTGTCTCTCCCATTCCAACCATGAACTGCAGCCTCTGAAAGGAGGCACATCTCTCTCTAGGAAAGTAAGACTGGTCTCCTGAATGCATATCAAAGTTATTTTTGGAATTATTTTTCCTTTACTCAACATGGAGATGAATTTTATACCTCTTTTCCATATTTCCCAATATTTTTCTCCATCTGCACTTAAAAATAATGTCATTGTTTTCTCAGCTAAAAAACAAAAACAAAAACAAACAAAAAATCACACACAGTTTCTCTTCTGGGTGAAGCTCAGGATTGCACACCAGACTGAGTATTGAAACAAGGTGGGCTGGTTTTGATATTTTTCTTGTTGCTCTTATTGTTGACATGTGGCTAGTGGAAGAAAGAGAGCAATAGTACACTCTTGAAATTTGACTGCTGATTGAATTATTCAACATCTTTTAACAGCTTCTTGTGAATATATTTGATGCAAAGTTTTCATGAGAACTGAAGTGTTGAGGCTCTCATTTAACAATGTTGTTTTTGGGGGATCTAAGTGGTGCTACAGATAATTTAAAATTGGCAATAAAATACCCCAGTGTGAGGACAGCTAAGTAGCAAGTGTTTTAAGAGAGCATCTTGGGTGACAGAGTATGGATTCAGAAAATAGCTGAAAAAACTGAAGCTCCCAATACCAAAGGAGTTCAACTGAGCCCCATGAACTAATGAGATACAAAATGCAATTCAGAGGAGCAAGACTTCATAGCCTCTTTTACTGGATGTGATTTTATTAACTATGCCATTAAATGGGAGAAGAAGACATTATATAGCCTTTTTCTTTATTGCTATGGGTCTCTGAATTAAATGAGAAAACATATTCCGTTGTAAGTCTCAGAATGTTCTCATGTAAAATAAGTGACTGTCTTTTCCCTTGATACCTCCACTATTGTTTCCCTTATAAAAAAAAAAAACCCTAAGAGATTTTGTAATGCAGAGACAAAATTGGTTCCGATATGGTAATGTCACATTTAAATACTTTTTATCTTTTGTGTACTCAGAAATATTAAAAATCAAACATTTTCTAAGCACTTTTTTCCCTACTCCCACAACGACACTTTAAACTGTTTTGTGGTTTCCAGGCAAGGTAATGTCGTGGCTGCTTTGTGCCATAGCCTTAGGCTGCAAATGCTCTGAGTCTTCCAATTTTATCCTTCAGAATTGCTCAGACTACCTCACTGCAGTTTTGGGCAGGAGTACTGACTCTCTTATTCAGGTTCACCCTTCTGAGTATTTCCAATAATTAGCAATCCCTCCATGTTCAAATAGCATGCTGCCTATGGAATGTACTGTATCAAGATCTTATTTTGAAGTAAAACTCTTAAGCTTTCCCAAATATATTGAGTCAAAATAAAACAACAATAACAATAAAAAAATGTAAAATAATAAATGATCAAGGCAAAACTGAACTACTACTATATTTGATATTTCATGGGGTGTGAATATTATTGATTAAATATTATCTTAGCTCAACAAACCAAGGGGGTAAAATTATATTTGACCTTTGTTGAGATTTTTTTTCTCTGAAAATATATTTCATATTAAGTAATATCTTTTGGATTTCCCTTTATCTCAGACCATTCAGAATACTGGGTTGACACCTACACCCTAGAATAAACATGGAAGTTAGAGTTAGAATGGGTGTCCTTCACCACAGGTGAACACATTATGGTAAGAATGAAGGTAATAACAAAAATAGGTTACTTTTTGCCAAGCGTTGGCATATGAAGTTTTAATCAACAATCTTATTCAGGCCTCATAGTAAATTCCCTAGCCATACTTGTTTGGACAAAGGAAAGCATCTTCATCTGAACAAGTTCAGTCAGATTGTTTCTTTTGGAAATTTGAAATTGGTTTGGGACATATTGTTGGAGCCAGGGATAAGAACGGGTGAGATTGTGTCTAGGTCCTGTGACCTGCTTGTTTTTCCTATGTACAAGGACAAGAAGGAAACCATGGATGCTGGGAGACACTGTTAAAGCACAAACATCAAAGAGAAGGCAAAATAAAATACACAAGAAAAGAACAGCCCGAGTTCTAAGTTTATGATCAGTTTCTTGTTTCTGTCATTTCAGACCACTATGTCTGAATCACAGTAGACATTTTGAACGCTTTTCTTCCTTACATTAACTTGAGTTCTCTTATTTGAATCTGCGAAACTTTCTGAAGCTAATATGTTGAAAATCATGAACATTTTGATAGACATACAGCATAGATTGTATAAATATATAATGACCATGAATTCAACACTTCTCCTATCACATTTGATGACCTAGCATTGGACCATAAACAGGTTGTAACTAATTAGTCCAACCAAAAATTATATAAAGACAACATCAACAAACAAAACCAGAAGTATAAATACAATTTGTCAAAGAATTTGTAATTCTGAATGAGTCACTTACTAGTTTTTGTGTTCATTGTTCAAGGAGATTCACTTAAGTCATTTCAGTTTCTTTTTGTTCTTGTCAACTGTTCTCCCTGCATCCTGTGTGGAGAGGGAATAAGAAGCCCATATGAAAGTGGGGTACAGCTTGAAAATAAAAGGCTGAAAAAATAGTATTAAGAAAGCCAAAGGACACAAGAAATATAGTTAAAGCAGGGGCTTGGTGGGTGGAAAAGACCTGATGGACCTGATCCTAACAAAGGAAAAAAGGGTGCACATGCCTTATTTATAGTGAAACACATCAAATGGAGGTTTATTGTGAGAGAAAAACATTTTCAAGATAAACAAGAAGTGAGAAGCTGTGGGGAAGCTGGTCTGACTGCGGACTTATCACTTGCACAGTGATTCTTTCTCTTGCATGCAGCTGGTGCCTCCAGACTACTTGGGCACACCGGTATCTCTTTGCACTTCAGGGGAGTTACCTTTGAACCTAGGGCTGTCTGAACCAATAAATCCCATGGTATCACAGAATTATTCTTTGAGCAGGACATTTTCAAGGCAATGGAGCAGTCTTAGAGCGGTATGAGGACACAGAGAGTTCTCTGAGGGGCATACCTCTGCTTAGAAATGGCCTAGACAAGCCAGCAATTCATTCACGGTTCCTACCAAGGAGTTTCTCAAGAACAACCTGAAAATGTTCAGTGACTCAGGGAGAGTTAGAGGAAGAGGCTCTTGTCGTAAGAGGAACCCTTTATTTTCACACAGAGACACACACATAGATATAAAGACGTATGCATCTATGATACTTAAATATAAACACAGACTTGTAAATTTTATATAGTAAAAAATTCCATTGCTTAAGCCAGGCATAGTGACACACCCTGTAATCCCAGCAGCTATGGAGGCTGAGACAGGAGGATGGAGAGTTCAAAGCTAGCCTCCGAAAAAGTGAGGTGCTAAGCAACTCATAGAGACGCTGTCTCTAAATAAAATACAAAATAGGACTGGGGGTGTGGTTCAGTGGTCGAGTGCCTGACTACCACCCGCCTCGTTCAATCCCTGGAAAACAACAACAAAAAAACATGGCTTAAAATGTTAAAATAAATAAATAACTCATAAGATTTAAAATATTTTCTGTTTTTAAATATGGTAATAACTTAGGCATGAGATGCCTCTTGAAAAGCTCATGTCTGAGACATGTGGAAATGTTCAGAAATGAAAAGATTACATTATGAAGTCATAACCTAATCATTGGATTAATCCATTTGGTGGCTAAAACATTTGAATTAATTACTGGATGGTAATTGTAGATAAGTGGGCATGGCAATGGAGGTAAGTCACCAGAGGCATGCTTTGGGGGATTTTTGTCTGTGGCTGCTCACTTTCTCTGCTTCCTATTTGCCATGAGATGAACAATTTTCTTCCACCACACACTTCTGTCATGATGTTCTGCCTCATCTCTGGCCCAGAATAATTGAACCTCTGATACGAAGAGACAAATTATACTTTGTCTCCTCTAAAGTATTCTTGTCAGATATTTTGTTCACAGTGACAAAAAAAAAACTGACTGATACAACTATATGTGATATTAAATGCAGAGTTACAAACTTGTGTGATAACATGTACGTACAAATACATAACCAGTATGATTGAGAAGAAAAGTTTCAAAGAACAAGATGGAGACGAGTCATCACCAGTGGAAAGCTTTTATGCTTATTTCTCTTTGTTTCACTTAAGAGAAGTCATTGCAATTTGATACAGAACTCCAAGAATAACTCTAGGACTTATTCAGGTCTTCAGGAAGTGCAAACTGCCTAAGCATTGTAACCAGCAATAGTTTTAAAAATTAAAAAGTGTTATGTTTCTTTGGGGTTTAATGGTTTTTCTTACAAATAAGACCGAGAATTATTTTCTCATCCTGGAAATATATGATTAACATTTTTTTCATAAGTTTTAAAAAGCAATGGAAACAGTGAGAAAAGAAAGTAAAAATAGCTGCAAAGAGTATTTGAAGTTATGGTAACTGGTGTTTCTATAAAATAAGTGGTATTGAACAAATAGGAAACTACATTTTTCTCTTTGAAACTTCATACAAGTAAAGATAATACAAGTAGAAGAATGAGAATGATGTACTCTGTTAAAAGTAAATTTTACATTAATAGAGGTGGAGGGGGAGAAAATGTGGGGAATGATAACATGATAGAATAGAAGATATTAGTATATGAAGTTTCATGACTCATACCCTCCACAAACATCTATTTAACTGGGCAAAAATCATCTGACTATTTTGGAATGTTTGAATTTAGCAAAACACTGAAATTTATGCATAAATGTACTACACAGAATTATGCATAGTGAAGAAAGAGGTTAGTAAACTTTAGTAAAATTGGCTTTTTGAGGTAGCTATTGCTATCCCCTGCAGCAGTCAGCCATGGAGATATTGGGCCATGTTCACTGTGTGACTCAATAGTGTCAGCGCAGAAAACTGATCACTCCTGATCATGTGAGTGGAGGTGAAACAAAAGGCAGAATCTTGTTTTAACCCCTCTGTGCTGGATGACTTCCTCTGGATCATCAGTAAACAGGATTTAAAAACACACAGAGCATCTTTTTTTCCTTTTGTTTTTTAAATGGATACAGGCATTGAAGTAAATCTTTGCCAGGTAACTCGCTGACCACAAAGATAAAGGCACAGGAAATTCAGTGAAAACACAAGAAAAAAAATAGTTTTTGTAAAAAATTGTGTGGGAAAAGTTACAAAACAAATAGAATACTATAGCCTTTGTCTAATACTAACAGTAATGTTTCCCCCAAATACCAATTTACCACATATAACAGGTCCAGTCCTTAACATAAATTACAAAGCCTACAAAGAATAAGAAGATATAACCCATTCAGAGGAAAACAAGAAGTTGAAAATAAGTCACGAGAAATTCCAGAAATGTTAAAGATTCTTTATTAACTGCCTTCAATATACTCAATAAACTGAATGAAACCTTGGATGGAGGACAAGTAGACAACAGGAATGTGATATATGGACAAGTAAAGAATACCAATAAAGACACAAAAAGTATAAAATAAAACCCAATAAAAATTCTGGTACTACTAAGCACAACCATTGAAATAAAAATGAAATAAATATCTTTTTCACTCAAGATTAAAATAGAAGAAATAATTACTGGGTTTGAAGGTAAGAATTTAAATTATTTAATATGAAGAGCATAAAGATTAAATAAAAATGAGTAGAGCCTATGGAACCTGTGGGAGTCATTAAGAACATCAAAGCACATATTGTGGGAATCTCACAAA